GAGAAGGCTTAGGTTCCACTCTACTACACCCTCCTCCTCTTGGGTTAAATCTATCTACAGGCCTACCTAACCTACTGTTCATGAGCGAGAGCTATCTCATCTGCCTCTGGCATAATGATGCTAATTACAACGCCTGATTTCACCACTTTAATGGGCTGTGAAATTTGTGGCTCACACACACCCTAACACGCTGAGGCCTTCCAGCGAAAATACATGACATACACGCTTAAACACAAACACAAACACACACACTTAAACACACACACAGGAAGGCAGGCAAGTACACAGGCACACACACACACACACAAACACAAACACATAACCATGGATTCCCCATCCGTACACATTTGGAGAGATTACAACGTTGCCCTTGGACTGTGGTATTGAAGCCCACCCATCTCTCTACCAACCAAAACACTGCAGCTATAGCTCCCTCGCTCCTTTGGCTAGGTATCATCACATGATGCAATGCTGTTCATTCAGAAAACATCAGTGTCACTCTGAAAGCATAGAACTGATGCTGACACACAACTCATTCTGCTGAGTATCAACAAGATTGGCCCCACTAGTTTGGCCTTAAAGCCAACTAGTGCTGACAGCAGAAGGGAAAATGTTATACCAGATTATGAACTGTTACAGTAGCTATATGAACCGCCCATGTCGGAGACAGTGTGTGTGAGTGTGTGTGAGTGTGTGTGTGTGTGTGTGTGCTCTTGCATGTGTGAGGTGAAAGGTTCCCAGTAGGGGATCAGTCCCGTCTGCCTTATTCCAACACTATCATATTGACAATGATAGGTTGTGATGCAATCTGACACTGTTTGGGAGAAAGACACAATTGGCCCTACAAATGGGTTAAACAACCAGTCAGTAGATATGTCTCTGACACCTATAATGGTAAATGGCACAGTGGTCAAAAAGAGCAATAATATTGATATGGCTATTGAGCCTCTTGCTATCGCCCTGTGGGCGGAGGAGAGGATTAAGGGAATACTAAGGGCCGACATAACTCACAAGGTGTCCTTATATGCAGACAATCTTCTTTTGTACATTTCTAACCCTGTGGAGTCTATACCATATATCTTAGACATGCTACAAGGTTTTGGGACATTCTATGGTTCTAAGTTAAACCTTACAAAAAGTGTGCCCCTCCCCATTAACCAGTTAGCAGAAGTTACTAGGTATGCCAATTTCCCATTTAAGGTGGAGCATCAGGTCTTTACTTATTTGGGGATAAAGGTCACACGCTCATTTAAGGCTCTGTTTAAACATAACTTCAAAACACTCCTGGAGCGCACTACGCAGGATTTCATAAGGTGGTCGTCTCTTCCCATTTCATTAGCAGGTCGCACTAATTCTGTCAAGATGACTGTACTACCTAGGTTTTTGTACTTATTCCAAATGATTCCCATTTTTTGGCCAAAGTTGATGTTCATACAACTGGACAGCTGTCCAGTCAAATCCACGAATGAGAAAGGTATATCTAGAGAGACCTAAGCCCGCAGGCAGGCTGGGCCTTCCCAATTCTTTACAGTACTATTGGTCAGCAAATATATCTAAATGTGTTTATTGGGTTTCTATATTTGAAGATAAGATGGTCCAACTTGGGCCATCATGGAGTTACAGTCAAGTCTTTCAACTTCTCCTGTCTCGTTCCTGTGCTCCCCACTGACCATGAACATTGGCACCCATGTTTTGAATCCCATTGTCAAGAACTCCCTTAAAATCTGGTCCCAATTCCGAAATCACTTTTACCTTAACCTCTTAAGGAGAGAAGCAAGCTGCTTCTCCCTATTAACATATAATAATCTCTTCCCAGTGTCGCAGATTGACTCATCGTCTCATTCAAAACTCTGAGGGTTGACCATAATATTCCCAATACCTTCTTTTTTAGGTAGCTGCAAACTAGCAGCTTTGCTAAAAAACAGTTCACTTCATTTCCACTCAACCCCACTAAGTGTCCAGTCGAGAAGTGCTTAGATCTTAACCCTTATCTGAAGGGCACAATCTCCAGATTAAACAACATAATACAGAACATTAATCCGCCTTCCTGGGCAAATACAAAATTGGGGTTGTTGTACTGTTTTTCTGTTCTCGTATCTGAAAATCTATAAATAACGTTGTTTTTTTTTAATGAAGAAAATAGCAATAAACCAATAAAAAGCTATTATTTTCATTGCTGCTACCACTCCTCTCTCTCATTCGCATGCATGCTCTCTTACTCTGCCCGTCATTGGCCGTGCTAGCATCTAAGGTCTAAGCCAAATATAAATCAGAGAGTAATGACTTCCTACAGATGAATGGTGGTAACAAGGGGCAGTAAACATAGTGTGTGATCTAAACTAAACCGGGTTTTACAAGGAGAACAAACACACATCACAGAAAACCACGTCTACAGTGCTTTCAGAAAGTATTCATACCCCTTGACTTATTCCACATTTTGTAGTGTTACAACCTGTGTTACAATTCAACATTTATTAAATAGATTTTTTTCTCACCCATCTATACACAATACCCCATAATGACAAAGTGAAAACTTGTTTTTAGAAATGTTTGCAAATGGATTGAAAATGAAATACAGACATATCTAAATTACATAAGTATTCACACCTCTGAGTCAATACATGTTAGAATCACCTTTGGTAGTGATTACAGCTTTGAGTCTTTCTGGGTAAGTCTCTAAGAGCATTGCACACCTGGATTGTACAATATTTATACATTCTTCTTTTTTAAATTCTTTAAGCTCTGTCAAGTTGGTTGTTGATCATTGCTAAACAGCCATTTTCAAGTCTTGCCATAGATGTTCAAGCCGATTTAAGTCAAAACTGTATCTAGGCCACTCAGGAACATTCAATGTCATCTTGGTAAGCAACTCCAGTGTATATTTGGTCTTGTGTTTTAGGTTATTGTCCTGCTGAAAGGTGAATTTGTCTCCCAATGTCTGTTGGAAAGCAGACTGAACCAAGTTTTCTTCTAGGATTTTGCCTGTGCTTAGCTCTATTCCAATTATTTTTATCCTAAAAAACTCCCTAGTCCTTGCCAATGATAAGCAAACCCATAACATGACACAGCCACCACCATGCGTGAACATATGAAGAGTGGTACTCAGTGATGTGTAGTATTGGATTTGTCCCAAACATAACGCTTTGTCTTCAGGACATAATTTCTTTGCCACATTTCTTGCAGTTTTACATTAGCGCCTTTTTGCAAACAGGTGTTTGCATGTTTTGGAATATTTTTATTCTGTACAGGCTTCCTTCTTTTCAGTCTGTCAATTAGGTTAGTATTGTGGAGTAACTACAATGTTGTTGATCTATCCTCAGTTTTCTCCTATCACAGCCATTAAACTCTGTAACTGTTTTAATGTCACCATTGGCCTCATTGTGAAATCCCTAAGCGATTTCCTTCCTCTCTGGCAACTGAGGTAGGCAGGACACCTTTATCTTTGTAGTGACTGGGTTTATTGATAGACCACCCAAAGTGTAATTAGTAACTTCACCATGCTTAAAGGGATATTAAATGTCTGCTTTTTATTTTATTTTAACCATCTACCAATAGGTGCCCTTATTTGCGAGGCATTGGAAAACCTCCCTGGTCTTTGTGGTTGAATCTGTGTTTGAAATTCATTGCTCGACTGAGGGACCTTACTGATAATTGTATATGTGTGTCACGACTTCGGCCGAGGCTGCCTCCCCTCCTTGTTCGGGCAGGCTTCGGTGTTCGTCGTCACCGTCTTACTAACCACTGCCGCCCCAATCATCATCACAATTGTCTCGTCTTGTCAATCACACACACCTGGTTCCTATCCCCTAATTAGTCTGTGTATAAGTGTTCCCTCTGCCCCCTTGTCCTTGTGGGTGATTGTTAATTGTGAGAGTAATGTAGCTCGGTGGAGCTACTCATAACATTGTGTTAGATTTTCCCCCTGTGCCTATGTATTATTGGATTCCGTTACAGTGTAATTGCCAGGGATGTTTGTTTCCCCTGTGCCTGTTTCGTTGATCGCTATTGGAGCGCATTTGTGTGTCAACAAAGGAATAAACTCTGTATTCGGTGATTACCCTCCTGCGCCTGACTCCTTTCACCACATAGAGATGAGGTAGTCATTCTAAAATCATGTTAAACACTATTATTGCGCACAGAGTGTTATTACTGCATGTGACTTGTTAAGCACATTTTTACTACTGAACTTATTTAGGCTTGCCATAACAAAGGGGTTGAATACTTATTGACTGAAGACATTTCAGCTTTACAATTTTAATTAATTTGTAAAAATCTCTAAAAACATAATTCAGCTTTGACATTATGGGGTATTGTGTGTAGGCCAGTGCCACAATATCTAAATGTAATCAATTTAAAATTCAGGCTGTAATACAACAAAATGTGGAATAAGTCAAGGGGTGTGAATACTTTCTGAAGGCACTGTATATACATCAAGACGAGATTGTCTTGTTTGAAGTCAGAGAAGCTTCACGAAGGCAGTCAGATAGGATTTCCAACCTTCCTCAAATCAATGATCCTGGATGCAAAATTCTAAAGTCTCCAGCTTCAGTCAGACGGTATCTGACTTGGTGAGTAACATCTTCCGTATCAATAAATAAGATGCTTTATCATATCCTGCTCTCAAGACAGTATGAATCAATCCATGTCAATGAAACATGAAAGACATCTTTTTCATCTTCTTCAATTCAATCTTTTTGTCTGTTTTCCAAGACGGTATCTTGGCAGGTCTGTTGTAATGGACAGTATAGACCCCCTTGGTGCTTGGGCCACAGTCCAGGAGTTTATAGAAGAGTGATGTTAACATGACTAGTCCATCTAACTCGTCCACATGCACTCTGGTAGTGGGCATTGGACCATCCATCTGCTCATGGAGACGATACACACAATCAGCCCCACAGCCACCTCAGATGAACCGAGTACTATGGTGATTTCATACCCGCACACACGCATGTACACATGCAAGCACGCACACACACACTGTCTCACACACTCCCTCACACACTCTGGCAAACACTCATATGCTGGTCTGCAGCTCGCCGTTGAGCAGCGCGGCGTTGTGCGTTTCTGCGGTGACGTCTTTGACCATGCGCGTCCGGTCCATGCGGCTGTCGCTGCGCTCCACCTCATCCAGGCCCACCACCTTCTTCAAGCACAGAACGTTCTGAAAGCTCTTCTTGAAGTTGTCCGACAGGAAGGCATACAGGATGGGGTTGGCACAACTGTTGGCATAGCCCAGCACCACCACAAACTCAAAGGTACTCTTGAGGACAGGCGTGGTGTCGATGGTGCCCGTCACTGAGGTGACATTGAACACGTAGAAAGGCAGCCAGCAGAGTACGAACATGGCAACTACGATGGACACCATCCTGGTCACCTTCCTCTCCGAGCGCTTATGCTTAGTTGAACCCACGCGCATGCCTGACGACTTCACCTAGTGGACGGGGAGAGAGGGGACACATCCTTTGTTATTGGTGGTACTACCTTAATCGATACCACAACTGTACCTACAGTGCCTTCAGAAAGTATTCACACCCCTTGACTTTTTGAAAATTTTGTTGTGGAATAAGTCATAAGTCAAGGGGTATGAAGGTACTGTATCTCTATGATTATAGGTCAATAAATACTAGGTCAAACTATATCAGAATGGGTGGGAGAACTTCACCAAAGATGTCAAAGATAAATTAACTTCAGAATAAAACACCTTTAACAGGAATGAGGAGCTCACCTTGACGATGATGAGCAGGTAACAGAGGCAGATGACGGTGAGCGGCAGGAAGAAGCCCAGGATAAAGGTGTAGAACATGAAGGCCGTCTGATAGGCCTCCTGAGGCTCTGGCCACACAATGGTACACACCCACGCCTGGTTCTTATTGGGCATCAGACCGCTGAAGATCATGATTGGCAGGTTGACCAGCAGGGACACTCCCCACACGGTAAGGTTGATGATCTTAGCCACGCGTGGCTTCCGCCACTTGGTGGACTTTATGGGGTGGACCACGGCCAGGTAGCGGTCGATGCTCATGACCGTGAGGCAGAAGATGCTGGTGAACTGGTTGAGGGAGTCCACGGTCATGACCAGGCGGCAGAGCACGGCGCCGAAGGGCCAGTGGACCAGGGCCAGCTGCATGGCGATGAAGGGTAGACTCAGCATACAGAGGACGTCAGCCACAGCCAGGTTCAGGATGTAAATGTTAGTGACTGTTTTCATCTTGGCATAGCGCAGGATGACATAGATCACCAAGGTGTTGCCGGTCAGCCCCACGGCGCAGACCATGAAGTAGACAAAGGTAATGACCACGGAGCTGGTCTTATCGAAGAGCTGTTGGGTCTTGTCCGGAGTGTCATTCCGGGACCTCAGGTCGGACTCGTTCCCTGGGAAGTAGCTGTCATAGTACAGGGGCTCGGGGAGGGAGAGGTTGGGGGATGACGGGAGGAGAGGCCAGAGATCCATACTGACAGGGAGGAGGGCTGGGTTGGATCTGTTTCAGGGTTGAGATAGGAGACACTAGTGTCACATCCCACCTGAGTGCACAGTACAGAGAGAGAGAGAGAGAGAGAGAGAGCGAGAGAGAGAGAGAGAGAGAGAGAGAGAGAGAGAGAGAGAGAGAGAGAGAGAGAGAGAGAGAGAGAGAGAGAAAGAACAGAGCAACACCACGATGAGGGAGACTAGTTTCCTTCAAAGCACCATGGCAACTGTTAGCCAATACTATATAAGGGTTTATGACTGCAACATGAAGTTACTTAATAAAGCCTGCCCTTCACTTATAGGCCCCACACACTACATTTGCAGGCCCCCACTCTCCTCCTGTAGGGCTTTTTCACTTTAATGTGTTGAACCGTTGGGACTTTACACCCTTGTGTCTCTTCCACTGTGTCTAGCAGCAGCTATGTGTACTGTACACACTGATTACAAATGTTGACTTAATTGATCTGGATTGGACAAACAACCTCAAGTTGATGTGAGACCCTTTGGAAAAATAGCCATTGATTCCTCAGCAGAAATAAATGACGGAAAGGATCAGAGCTAGGCTATAGTTTTAGGCTATAGTGCATGTGCCAAAGCTGCACCCAGAGGATGGGATTCCTCTGGGTGTTGTAATGAAACTACTCTCTGATGCAAATGATCCAATTGCAAAGGACCAGACAGTGCCAAAATAATGTTGAACCCTTTAATAGCCTATTTGTTTGTGGTTGTTGAGAGATGATTTACTTAGAAAAACAAAACTATTGGAAATGTTTAATTATGGGATCAAATGTATTTGTTGTTATTGTTGGGCATAAGGCTATCTGTGGATCCGGGTTTATTGCGCAAATGCAGGCCCTCTATTGGATTGTTCTAGTGGTAAGGAGCCGCGTGCACTGCATGGCCAACCTTTGCGCTCTAATCACAGACAGTGCCGGTAATTATCTTAAGAGTTAGGTTTTGTTTTTCTATTATAGATCTATTTAAAACGTAGCCAATAGGCAGATGAGAGAATAATTAATATATATTTTTTAGTAGAAATTAGATTAAACTTGTTCAGTATTGATTCTATTCATTTTATGCAGACATATTGGTCTCATAAATGCAAGGTGGTTAAGATTAGTCTGTCTTCTATCATTCTAAAATATTTCTCACCCAAAACAGACTTCACATTGTAATATTTGTTTTCAATATTGCTGGAGAGGTTATTTTATATTCATTTATTATTTGATCTGTTTTGCCACCAAATGTAGGAACTAACATTCAATTCATTTTATATGTCAAGTGAAAATGATGGATACATTGCAGGCATTAAAATTCAACAGCGCGCACAATGGCACACAAATGCGCACGATAAATAACCTTGATCCGACTATAAAATTACAGATGCGCTGTTATAATTTACTACAGGTATAACACTGAACAGAAGGTGACAATTGAACTAAAGAAGTGTCCGATAAAAAATATACATTGGTTATGCATATGGTAGACTATACTCACCTTTGACGACTGGTTATCGATAAAGTCCGAAACGAAATGTCACAGGATTACGCATGCACTTTTGCCAAAACCAAGATCACAATTAATTGACTTATTATTTGTTAATAGCACATGCACAATTTCAAGATGTATGTATAGGTTAAACTTACCTTTATTTGGAAACTTTAACGTCACATTAGATCCATTTTGGAATGGTGTCATTTCAGCAAAGAGTATTCCGACTTCCACTTCTGGCCATCACTGAACATCTAATGGAAGGCAGCATTCTGCCCTGTGGCTTCCACTTAACTTATAATACACCTGTCCTCCCATTGCGCACAGTGGTATCTTGTGCGCCAAAGTGGTGACGGTCATTGCCACATAACAGTTATGTCTAACATTTCAAATAGGCAATATAGTATATATTACATTTCTCTTTGAAATACCTCAGCAATACAAAATTGTGTAAATCATATGTAGATAGTTTTGAGTAATTGATGTATCCAAAAGTAGCCTACTGGCGCTGAATCCGTGGCCAGAGATAATGCGAAATCTGTTCTAGCAGGAGGACTGACGCACAAAGAAGAGCGCAGCCTGTTCAGCGCGCTGATGAGCGGTGCACTCACTGCTGCGTTCAGTGGAATTGGATGATGGATGAGTGCGCGTACGCTGCAGGTTTCGTCTCTGCATGCAGATGGAGCTGCGGATCCGCTATGCTCTCGCCCCCTCCTCCCCCTCCTCCCTCCCCTACTCACCAAACTCCCCAAATAGGGTTGTGCGTCAGTGTCTGGACATCGACATGCGTGAAGGAAACTGCCATAGAGTTCCTCGCCCTGATATTTTGTAAGGGGGATATGTGCTCATACTAATGACCTTAATTGTAACGGTTGCCTCAGTCACCCAGACCGGAGCATTTTCTCTGTTTATATGAGAGCTACAGCGCGACAGACTCTGTGCAACCAGACTTTATAGTGAAGCATGGAAGGACAAATTAGGCGCACAGATGGTTGACATCATCTGAATGATCTCTGTCAAAAGTCTCTGAGAAAGTGTGCCTTGTTCAAGCACATTCTTCCGCATGGGGTATTTATTGCACACTAGGTTAACTTCCTTTCAAATGTATAACAAATTAATCTCCAAATAAAGAGTCCCACAAATGGAACAGTTTATGTTGCTTGGATACAACATCACTCACTCTCAATTCAAAACCATCATCAGGGGCCAAACTTCCATGTAGGCATCTTCAAGAAACTGAAAAAGAGGAAATCCTTCTGAAAAGATTTGGTAGCCACAAGCGTTCTGGACTATTAAAAGCCTTGAACAAAGTAATCAAACGCTCCAGTAAGCCTTAACCCACCAAGACAACACTTTTTGAGTCAACATCGAGCTGATATCAAAGTAAGGGTTAAATGTTAGCAATGGAAAAAGCCACACAGACCTTGGTATATATATATTTTTGAAAGTCATGCAATTCTACTAATTTTGCCATGGGGCAGAGAGAAAAAATGTGCACTTTTACAGCTAATTTTCTGCAGTTCTGCCCATTTTGCCAATACTTATACCATGTTAATGATATCTGAGTCAGAGTGACTAACAAAATCAATGGGGGCCCCCTGGAGGTCAGGGCCCCTGGGATCTTGCCCTACGTGCCCTGTCGGTATTCGGCCATGATTACTACAAGTTTAGATAGCTGGCTAGACTAATTTACCAATCAAAAAATTGTTAGCTGACATGGCTAATTGAGTGACTGTCAGGGATTGACATAACAAGAGAAAAACCGCTGAAGCACAGCCAAATGTCGAAATTTCACCTTGTGTATTCTTCTATTCTAACTCTCAAAAGTAAATTGATTAGCTGTTCAGGAGTCTTATGTCTTGGGGGTAGAAGCTGTTAAGAAGCCTTTTGGACCTAGACTTGGCGGTCCAGTACCTCTTGCCGTGCGGTAGCAGAGAGAACAGTCGATGACTAGGGTGGCTGGAGTCTTTTTAGGGCCTTCTGAAACCGCCTGGTATAGATGTCCTACATGGCAGGAAGCTTGGCCCCAGTGATGTACTGGGCCGTACGCACTACCCTCTGTAGTGCCTTGCGGTCGGAGGCCGAGCAGTTGCCATACCAGGCGGTGATGCAACCAGTCAAGATGCTCTCGATGGTTTAGCTGTATAACTTTTTGAGGATCTGAGGACCCATGCCAAATCTTTTCAGTCTCCTGAGGGGGAATAGGCTTTTTCTTGCCCTCTTCACGACTGTCTTGGTGTGTTTGGACCATGATAGTTTGTTGGTGATGTGGACACCAAGGAATTTGAAGCTCTCAACCTGTTTCACTACAGTCCCGTCGATGAGAATGGGAGTGTGCTCAATCCTCTTTTTTTCCTGTAGTCCACAATCATCTCCTTTGTCTTGAGGGAGAGGTTGTTATCCTGGCACCACATGGCCAGTCTCTGATCTCCTCCCTATAGGCTGTCTCATCGTTGTCGGTGATCAGGCCTACCACTTTTGTGTCGTCGGCAAACGTAATGATGGTGTTGGAGCCGTGCCTGGCCATGCAGTCATGGGTGAACAGGGAGTACAGGAGGGGATTGAGCATGCACCCCTGAGGGGCCCCCGTGTTGAGGATCAGCGCGGCAGATGTGTTGTTACCCACCCTGAGGGGGCGGCCCGTCAGGAAGTCCAGGATCCAGTTGCAGAGGGAGGTGTTTAGTCCCAGGGTCCTTAGCTTAGTGATGAGCTTTGAGGGCACTATGGTGTTGAACGCTGAGCTGTAGTCAATGAACAACATTCTCACGTAGGTGTTCCTCTTGTCCAGGTGGGAAAGGGCAGTGTGGAGCGCAATAGAGATTGCATCATCTGTGGATCTGTTGGGGCGGTATGCAAATTGGAGTGGGTCTAGTGTTTCTGGGATAATGGTGTTGATGTGAGCCATGACCAGCCTTTCAAAGCACTTCATGGCTACAGACGTGAGTGCTACGGGTCGGAAGTCATATAGGCAGGTTATCTTAATGTTCTTGGGCACAGGGCCATGGTGGTCTGCTTTAAACGTGTTGGTATTACAGACTCAGTCAGGGACATGTTGAAAATGTCATTGAAGACACTTGACAGTTGGTCAGCGCATGCTCAGAGTACACATCCTGTGATCCGTCTGGCCCTGCGGCCTTGTGAATGTTGACCTGCTTAAAAGTCTTACTCACATCGGCTACGGAGAGCATGATCACATAGTCATCCGGAACAGCTGATGCTCTCATGCATGCTTCAGTGTTGCTTGCCTCGAAGTGAGCATAGAAGTGATTTAGCTCGTCTGGTAGACTTGTGTCACTGGGCAGCTCGCGGCTGTGCTTCCCTTTGTAGTCTGTAATAGTTTTCAAGCCCTGCCACATCCGACCAGCGTCGGAGCAGTATGATTAAATCTTAGTCCTGTATTGACTCTTTGCCTGTTTGATGGTTCGTCGGAGGGCATAGCGGGATTTCTTATAAGCGTCCGGGTTAGAGTCCCGCAGAAGTGACTGATGTGGTGTACTCCTCAATGCTATCAGAAGAATCCTGGAACATATTCCAGTCTGTGCTAGCAAAACAGTCCTGTAGCTTA